AATATCTGTACGGTTCTGTAAATTACTTACTAAAATCGTTTTACTATTTTTAACTTAGTATAAGAGAATATCTGTACGGTTCTGTAAATTACTTACTAAAATGTTTTACATTTTTAACTTGATAAGAGAATATCTGTACGGTTCTGTAAATTACTTACTAAAATGTTTTACATTTTTAACTTGATAAGAAAACATCTGTACGGTTCTGTAAATTACTTACTAAAATGTTTTACATTTTTAACTTGATAATAAAAGATCTGTACGGTTCTGTAAATTACTTATAGCACAAAATTTTCCTAATTAGTGATTACTTAAAATTTTCATAAAAATGTAAATAATGTAAAGTTTGAAGACGTACTTTGATGATGTATGTGTCTCTGCATAGGAAGCTGAATGTGAGAAGTCTGCAATGGACGTGAAATATGGGGCCAACACCAAGATTGAAGATTCTCATCGCCTTTATCAGCTGCAGAAGAACAATTTTGATGGAGAAGTGAACACAAAGGTATCAAAAGTATTTGTTAAACGTGTCGAATCGTAAATCTCCGTGGATTTTTTTTAGTAATATAATCATGTTGGTAATTTTCAGTTATTAGTGAAATTATTCTACTTGTTACATTGTAGAATGGAGCGTACATACGTTATTAATGTGATTTTTATTTTCACATAGAAAGCAGAGGCTCAGCTGGCATATGAACTACAAGCGGCTAAAATGAAGCAGAAGATCAGAAATGAGGAAATTGAGATCGATATTGTTGAACGAAGGAAGCAGATCGCCGTCGAAGAAAAGGAGATTCAAAGGAAAGAGAAAGAACTAACCGCCACTGTTCGGTTACCAGCAGAATCGGAGGCTTACAAAGTAGAGATGTTGGCTCAGGGTAAACGGTACGTTATAATGATGTGAAATCAGTTAATGTTCGACTGTAAAGAACTAACCGCCACTGTTCGGTTACCAGCAGAATCGGAGGCTTACAAAGTAGAGATGTTAGGCTCAGGGTAAACGGTACGTTATAATGATGTGAAATCAGTTAATGTTCGACTGTAAAGAACTAACCGCCACTGTTCGGTTACCAGCAGAATCGGAGGCTTACAAAGTAGAGATGTTGGCTCAGGGTAAACGGTACGTTATAATGATGTGAAATCAGTTAATGTTCGACTGTAAAGAACTAACCGCCAGTATTCGGTTACCAGCAGAATCGGAGGCTTACAAAGTAGAGATGTTGGCTCAGGGTAAACGGTACGTTATAATGATGTGAAATCAGTTAATGTTCGACTGTAAAGAACTAACTGCCACCGTTCGGTTACCAGCAGAATCAGAGGCTTACAAAGTAGAGATGTTGGCTCAGGGTAAACGGTACGTTATAATGATGTGAAATCAGTTAATGTTCGACTGTAAAGAACTAACCGCCACTTTTCGGTTACCAGCAGAATCGGAGGCTTACAAAGTAGAGATGTTGGCTCAGGGTAAACGGTACGTTATAATGATGTGAAATCAGTTAATGTTCGACTGTAAAGAAAGATTTCGTTTATTCTTAGAATGATTAATTCTACGAGAAACTGAAAGTCATACTGGATCTAGGATGACCACATCAGAAAAGTGTAATACTTTAGCTTTTGAAGCTTGGATTAAACATCAAGTGATATTCTTGGAAGGTATCGACTTAAAGTTAGTGTACCAAACAGAAATACCATTTACTATTGAAAACATGCCTCTTAAGTGAACAGGTGTAGCCTAGTGGTTAGCATGCTGAACTCTGAATCCAAGGGTCCATGGTTTGTGTCCAGTAGCTGCAAAAATGGGCTCCACAATTTAGGGCCTTGGGCTCATTATAATAGCGATGGTCATATCCCACTATTGAATAGAGTAGCCAAAGAATTGGCAGTGGATGCTGTAGATTAGCTGCCTCTAGTTTATCAGTTTAAAAAATGGGGGATGGCTGGTACAGATAGTCTTTGTGTAGCTTTCCTCAAACTTTTCTTAGAATATTTAAGTCATGTTACTTGTCGATTCTGGTGTAACTTGATGGTTTAGATAGTACATGTAATATTTTCAATAAACTGACGTTTAGGTAAACAAAATAAACTCAGCGGGATAAAAGTGAAATGTTTGTAACAGCAAGAATCTGAACTTTTAAATATGCTTTATTTTATGTCAAACTGTTTTACTTTTGGCTTGCAGAATTCACATCTTGTCATCATATATTAATGTTGAAGTAACTTCTACATTATAAATAACTGTCAGAAACATCACTCTATAGGCGACTGTTTGTACTAGTAATTACTAATTGTAGTATTCGTACCACATTGAAGAAAATTAGAAAAAGTGAACATTTTCTAAAAAAAAAGAGTATTTTTCGTAGAAGCACTGCATGGGAAAAGTGTTTGGATTGTGCTGATATAGAGTGTAATGTTTTTATATATGTATTAGAAGTGTTACCCTTTATTGAAAAAATAAGTTTTTTAAGAACTTCGTTTTTTAGTACTATATTCACAAATTATGCCAATAAAAATACAATCAAACCCTCATGTACAGTTCTAGTGAAAGTCGTGTTCTTGTTGTCATGAGAGTACTGTTATTCAGAATTGTGTTCTGTGATAAAGAAATGGTTGTTGCACATACTGTACTTATTTATCTAATAGTCTGAATCACAAATAGGCAAAGCTTAATTTTTTTATGGATTTCTGCTTGTGGTACCATTCAATAGATGGCGCCACATTGTATATATTATTTCGGCCATATACATAGATACATATATATACATGCTAAGTCCATTATAGTAAGATACTGTACCATTTCATTGACTTAATTTGTTTTTGTTCTTTAGCAATGCCCCAGAATGAACCTAATAATAATAAAGGCAAATGAACCAAATGTTATATGTTATTTTCAACTAGCATACAATAAGTTACAAATTGTTGATTTTGGATGAAAAATCTAAAACATAACTGAAATTGTTTCGAATAATAGTATAATAAAAAAAAAATTTATGGTCAGGACTCAAACAGTGGAGGTTGCTCGAGCAGAGGCAGAAAGGATTAAGATGATCGGTGCTTCTGAGGGTTATGCAATAGAAGCAGTTGGAAAAGCAGAAGCAGAAAGAATGAGGATGAAAGCAGCAGCTTATAAGCAGTATGGTGATGCTGCTGTTATGAGTATCGTGCTGGAAGCTTTACCAAAGGTACATTTTTGTAACTTTTGGATCACTTGGACTCTAAATGTTTCTTAAATAACCTTGGTGATGACAAGTTTTATCCATTTAGAAATAACAGACACTTATTTTAATAAACTTTGATGTAATTTGTAAAACTTGTATATGCACTTTACAATTGGGATGCCAAAATCAAAATTCCGTGATTTAAAAAAAAAAAAATTTCTATATCTTCCTTTTAAAATTACTGTCTTTTTCATATATATATATTCAACGTTCAGATTATATTTTTGTCATAAAAATTGATGTCTATTTATTCTTATCAGTACTTCTCTCTCCCTTCTTTTTTTTTTTTCTCTCAGTATTCCGCATTAATTTGAATGCAATGTTAGAATTTGAAAAATTTTATAAGCTTCTGTGTATTGGTTTGAATTCCGATGATTTTAATAAATTCTGCCAAAAACTGTTTTTCTATTTTTTAAGAATAAATTGCCACTTTACTTAGATTATAAAATAGCTATTTACAAATTTTTTAACTTTTAATTAGTAACATATCTAGTCTGATTGTAAGGCAAAAACAATTTCTCACGGAAGCGTTTACACCGATTCTCACCTCTCACGTCAAAGAAATATCTGTACAAAATGATTTAACTTGTTAAAAACGTTTAGCCCATTAATATTGAGTGTTCGAATGAATTAAAAGTTAAAGAAGACAGGTTTGTAAGTTTATGTGACATTCTACAAATGCAGAGTTGTTGAGATGGCATTTAATCACTTGTTACTGTTGTATACAAACACACACACACACACTGTAACCAAAAAAAAAGGCCTTGTAGAAGAAATATTTACTTCAACATCGGCTTCTGTTACTTATTAGAAACATTAAGTATTTTCTTTAGTATGACAAATGTATATTGTGACATTGAATGCATCTCTTGCATTCATGAAGTAATGTTATAGTACTTGTCTTTAAAATAGGTACTTAATTTTAAAAGAATACTTTGAAGAACTTGTAAACATTGCTTTTGGATCCTATTTGTTGTCTACTGTACTTGACAAAGTGGCTACACTAAAATGAGTTATTCTGTCTTTTGATTTGCTAAGCAGTAAGTCTGAAGGCTTATTATGTTAACAGTTGGGTTTCAGTACCAATGATGGGTACAGCACAGATATCCCATTGTGTATTTTTGCGCTTAACAACAAACAAATAAATTTTTGGTTTTCTGACCTTTATTTAATTTGATTGTTAAATCACGATGTTTCAAAATCCTTTGGAAAGTAAGAATGAAAATGAATCTCAACTGGTTGTAGTTGATGAAATTTAGTTGATTGGATGGCAACTGTCTGTTGTAGAAACACAACATAGAGGTCAACATTTTAAAAATCTTCTGCCTTTCATCTTCAGGTCAGCGTGTAGGTGTATTGTTTTATCGGTCTTTATAGTATTTTGGTGGATTATGGAGGGTGTGTTATGATTGGTTGATTAATCCTTATTTCTGATTGGTGGAGAGTCTTTCTATGGTAGCCACAGGTTACTCACCTTTAATCTGGAATCTCTGTTTAGTGAAGGTTTAATTGTGTTAAGACAAGAATAAAAGAACATAAAGACAGTAAAAGGTTCATGAAAACACAAAATTCAGACATTGCAGAACACATCATGTTAACTAGACACAGAGTAAACTGGGAAAAAACTAGAATCATCGACACAGACAAATTTTGGAAGACAAGAAAAAATCCTTTTACATTAACACAGAGATTAGAAATTCCGGAGTAGAGGTGAGTAACCTGTGGCTACCATTGGTTGAATCTACAGGAAGTCTCTCCACCAATCAGAAACAGGAATAAACCAACCAATCATAACACGCCCTCCACAATCCACCAAAATACTAATAAAGACACACATCACACACACTGACCAGAAGACAAATGGCAGAACACTTCTGAAACATCGTCCTCTACACTTGAGTTTATACAACAGGCAGTGCGCTGTCCATTCAGCTACGTTTCATCATGAACAATCTACCAAAGAATGGTAGTACCTGATTTACGTAGATCTGTAGAGATGCTTTTTCTTGTTTATTTATCTGTAAACTTTATCTTCAGGTTGCAGCAGAAATTTCAGCTCCACTCAGTAAAACTGATGAGATTGTTCTGGTCAGTGGGAGTGATGGAGCAGTGTCTGAAGTGAACAGATTGGTCAGCCAAGTTCCTCCAGCTGTCCATGCTCTTACAGGAGTGGATTTATCTAAGGTAAATGAGAACATCACCTTTTGATTGTGTGTATGTCTGTACTTTAAAAAGTATTGTAGATATCCAGTTTTAGGAACCATAAGTTAATTATAATAGGTTCGTCAGTTCTTTGTCACATAATTTTGGTAGTTTTCTCTTATGTTTAAAGAGTACTGATATTTATGTAGCTTCATTAATCCCTGTGTAGGTACACTACCTCAAATCTCACCGAGATGTGTTTCATTAGGCAAGGTGATGTATTTTGAAAATTGCTTTTGTTTTTAAAGAAATGATTATATATAATAGAACTTAACACAGGACACCACTGGAAATTAGCTCAACATATTTCTTTCAGTGTTTGCAGTAAGTCTGTGTGTGTGTGAACCAATATATTTAGTTTATTTAGCTCTACAGTAAAAACTGTTTAGTAAGTCACCACTGTGTGCATGAAACAATACACTTAGTTTATTTAGCTCTACAGTAAAAACTGTTTAGTAAGTCACCACTGTGTGCATGAAACAATACACTTAGTTTATTTAGCTCTACAGTAAAAACTGTTTAGTAAGTCACCACTGTGTGTGTGAAA